GGGGGGGATACAAGGGGTGGGTTCAGGGGTGCACAGCACTGACATGTCTCCAACAGATGGGGCAGGAGCGGCAGAGCGTTCAGCCCAGCTGGGGATGCTGGCTGAGGTGCTGGTCGCTGAACAGCGACGTCTCCGGGAGGCACGGGTCCGGCGCCGGGACCTCATTGGCCTGCTGGAGAGGCAGCGGGCAGCCTATGGCCAGGTACAGTGCAGATATGGGTATGTGGTAGAGGGAGGGTTGGGGGGAAGCTCTAGTGCCACTCATCCCTGCCCTGTGCCCCTTCACCAGGCGCTGGAGCAGTGCCGGGGCCTGCTGTGCCGGCTGGCGCAAGAGTATCGCCTAGGCACCCAGGCCGAGCTGGACCAAAGCAACGCCCAGTACCTGGAGACCAAGTGCAGCGCCATGTTGCTCAAAGCCCGGTGAGCAGGGGAGGGGGAGGGGCCGGGGGCAGTTACGCCAGCCCCAGGGTGTGGGCATGGAGTAGGCAGCAGTGGTTGGGGCTTCTCTGGTCATGCCACCCCCCTGTGAAGTTACAGGTCCGAGGTTACAGAAGAGCATGGGGATTGGGTTTTTTCCACCCTCAGTAGGGGAGAGGTCAGAGGTCATAAGCCAGGGTTGAAGGTAATGGAGGATATGCGGTGGGTGGGCATCTCTGCCCATAGTGGCAGGTCAGGGTGGGGAGTCAGAGGTCACTTGAGTTATTCTAGTCCTTGCCCTGGGTGGGAGAGGTGAGAGGTCGCTTGGATGAACTAGGGGTCCCTGCTCATCCCAGGCACCCGGGCTCCCCACACCACCTTCTTCCCAGAGCTTGGAGAGAACCAGGGTGTCTGGGCAAGCCCCCACCTCTCTCTTCCCAGGGATGGACCAGAGGTCAGAGCAAGGTGGACAAGCAAGGTGAAGGAGGGTCACAGGTCACTGCATCCACAGCAACTCTGAGGAGGGGGAACCTGATTCAGAGGTCACCAGGGTAGAAGTCCCAGGTCACCTTTTGCCAGCAGGATAGGAGGGCTTGGGGTAAGGGATGGAGCTGGGTGGCTCAGGGGTAAGAGGTCACTGGATGTGTCTACGCCTGCAGGCTGGAGGAGCTGAGCATACTGCTGGACACCTACCCTCCGGAGAAGGTGGAGGTGCAC